CAATCCTCTCCTATAAATCATGTGGCCTCGCCATAGCGCCCACCCTCGCCAGCTTAGCTCGCCATCGCTCGCACCGGTCTCCGCCCTCGCGCCCTCCCTCGCCCATGCTCTGTACATTTTGATTAATTGGACATTATCTTTCCACGATTTATTGACGAATATTTAAACAAGATGCTCATAGATTAGCCAAACAAGCTTGACAATTTGTTTTTCAATCTTGTACTTCTACCTATGAAAAAAATAGTTATTCTGGTGTTTCTATAATGTATTAGGGCAGTCACAATGCTATACCTATTAATTTCCATAGACACTACATATATAAACCATGGTCCTAATGGATAGTATTTTACACAATAATTTTTATCTAACCACATACATTCGGCCTGTTCGCTTTGGTCGTAAACGATCATAAATTTTTAGCAAGAACAGTATTTTTCTCTCACACAAAACCAGTCAGCAGTAATAATCCACGATCGTATACGATTGTATCAGCACCAGCTGAACAGGCTGATTCTCTCTCCATTCTTTATCAATCACATCCCTTCATGTCTTGGTTCTCGTGTAGACATGTCCCAAGAATCTGATATGTGTCATGATTTCAGAATTACATGCTACTCCCAGGGCTGGATGATGAGCAGATGGTTTCTTTGTGCCCAAACTATTCGCACGGAGCAGTGAGGTCTTGGGATCATGCAACGGGGAGGTTGTATAGTTTGGAGAGGATGGTTTAGAAGCAGAGCTTGTTGAAATCGAGCATGGAATGGTGCTTACATGGTGTTGAAAACTTTAGACATTTAGAGGTTGGCTGGAACTGGATGGTGCTTGGGAGGTAGTAAAACTGACAGCCATCGCATCTCAATGAAGAGTTGACGATTGACTTTGTGAAGCAAATTTAAAAATCTTTGTGTTATAAGGGGGCAAAACTTGAATTTGTCGTTTCTGAGCAGATAATTTCTCCTTGTGAAAGTGTTTCTAACTAATTTAGAGTGGAGCAATGAATCTACGAAAAATTACTTTATCAATTCCAACTTATATGATGCTTTGGCTTTTCTAGATATATAACTTTTTTTATATGCTTAGATATACATAATTAAAATAATATATCTAGAAAAACCAAAATATCTTATAATTTTGAACTAAGAGAGAAGATTCCAATTATTATTTTACAGTGAATTAGCTTGTACCCAGACACAATACATGAAAATGATATATTTTGAAGTTTACCTTGGACATCATCATCTTAAAAAACTAGGAAGAATCAAATGTACAATTATGATAACCTCTAATTTACTTTTATTCGTCGCTTGCAATAATAATACATATGATTTAATAATGTCTATATATTGCTGATGGTGAATCTTGCCATAGACACTCAAGTGGATATCTTATTCTACAGTATATGTCTGCGCGAAATAGTCCTAAAGCCACACATATTTATACGGTGAGTATAACATACTTAAGGTATTATAAGAGATTTTTCAAGACACGCAGTATTACCCATGTGTCAGGAATTAATATTTATATATATACTCGAACTTGTGTATATGATGGTATGAAGATGCGGCAAAACTTATTCATGGATTTATTAGCGTACGAAAGAAATAGATATCGGAGATTTTTTTCTGCCGATATAAAACATTATCTTAGTCGCATCACGGAAAAGTCTATACAGTAGAGTTTGTGAACTTGCGACGCCGCACTCCATGACCGTGTTAATTTCACGAACTTTGCCTTTTAGATTAAATATCACTTTAATGTCGATATTTAATTTTATAGTATTGTTATCTTATCATGCGATCCATGTATTTTTAGTATAAAAGTTTAGCTGTTCCGTAACAACGCACGGACACGCTACCTTAATGCATATTTGTTAGTTTGGAAGGTTAACTTTCTTTGACATATTACCATTTGCAGGGCCTTGGAGCAGTAGCTATCAAACTCATACAATTTGTTTAAACATACGGTGTATCATGTGGTCATTTAAATAGACCATTTCGTCCAATACTGTTGATCAGCATGTAGTTTAATTTCAGGCAAGCACGACCACTAGCGGCTCAGCAAAACTGTTTTAGTTCCTAAGACAATTCAATTTTCAATTCTGGATTTTTTATTATTATTTTCTAAGTTGTTGGAGTTATGGACCTTACGGATGTAATTTATCTATCGCATATGAACCTTGGTGGATGTAATTTGTAATCCATTTATTTAGGCATTGTTATGAGTATGGGTGAAAACGGTACGGATATTTTTCGACCGTATCCAAGACCGAATTCGTTTAGAGGGTTTAGATTTATCCGTATCCGAGTCCGGATATTCAACATTGGTAATTAGTGGCGCACAAAAGAAATGGATATCGGAGATTTCTTTCGACAAATATATAACATTATCTTAGCCACATAAGGGAAAAGATCTATAAAGTAGAGTTTGTGAGCCTGTGATGACGCGCTCTCCATGACTTGTGTTAATTTCACACACTTTATTTTTTGGATTAAATGTCACTTTAACATTGATATTTAATTTTTATAGTATTGTTATTTTATCGTGCGATCCGTGTGTTTTTAGTATAAAATGTTAGCTATCCCGTAGCAACGCACGGGCACGCTATCTAGTCTGAAAAACGAGTCATTACAAATTTATGCCGGTCAAATTTTCTTGCTTAACTAAATTTATAAAAAAATAGTAGTATTTTTTGTATTCCAAATAAATTTACTATAAAAATACATTTAGTGACTTATTTAATGATACTAATAATGCATCATAAATATTAATATTTTTCTTATATATACTGATTCAGAGTTGAAAAATGTTTGATTTCTCGAGAAGAGAATGGCACTTTTTATGAGACGGATGTAGTAATATTTAAGGAATTAGTAAAATTTAATGTTAGCTTTGTGTTCTTCATCTTGCAAGCGGTTGATGATTAACAGGCAAAGAGTGTTCATACGCCGTCTTATTTCTAAACTTGTTCATTGAGGAAAATACCCACTCAGCACTAGCACTTGCTATTGAAGGACTAGCATCAGTTTGAGAGGTTCATAAACATTCTCTGGGTTGCACATACCGCTCGTGCAGCTTGGAGTAAGTATCATGTGAGGTTGTGAGCCCGAGATAAGAGAGAGGTGCATGAACATAGATCCAAGTCATCCTCGTATGACGGCTGAGAATCCGGACTAGACCTCTTTGTGCACTGAACACACATGAAGCGAACAAGTTGAGAGCTCAAGGACAGAGCGAAGAAGATCTGGTTACGATGGACCTCTTCTAGTTTGTATCAAGCAGCAATGGACCTCTTCTAGTTTACGATGGATTTTTCGTGAATGATTATGTAGATCCCGTGCACCAGCTAATTTTCGCCGCACACAGTGACTTGTTGTTTCTTGAAGGAGTATTGTTTTTTTTTCTTTTTATATGTTTTCTGAGAGAAAATTCTTTTTATGTGAACAAAGTAAACGAGAAGTGAGATTATGCGTTCATGTCTGGTTATTTATTTTTGTCCGGCTAAGGTTGGCTTGGCGTTGTAGCCTTGTAAGTAGTGATGGTGTACTCCTACAGTACTATAACCCACTAACGCTTGCCATATTATTGGAGCCTATTTCAATCATTGTGCATAGTGGTGACATACAAGAGTGTTAATATTATTATGCCTATTATTATACCGAGTAAAATTAGATCAATACACACAAAAAAAAACTATTGATATAGTGTCGGTCTCAATCTCAATAGTCAATATCCTAGCTGAAAATAGCCAAAAAAAAAAATGTCATGTGAAACTTGAAAACCCGGAGAGTCGCGCTCTCGTTATTATTACACCCAGCTGACCGAGCTTGAGAGTCTTGTCACAGACGTGGCACGTACGTTTTTCACTCGACGAGACGTGACATACGTTATTGGTCGAGTGAAAACTTCTTTGGTAGTACGGCTTCATTATCGCGATCGCTTGTGCAGTTCCTTACGATCCAAGTCGTGAAGTCAAGTGTCATGTGGCTTGTGAATCCAATCCAATAATTAATAAAACAAGATGCATGGTATAATTGGTAACGAACGAAAGAGCCTAGTCATTCTCGTATGCCCCGCCGGTAATCTCCGGGCTCAACTGAACTTGTTGAGCACCCAACCTGAAAGGCCACACCGAAAGAGACTAGAAAATTATTAACACGTACCACATCGATTTGATAATCCATCTGACGAAGATCATTTGACACCGTAATTTTTATCATTTCTTTCTACAATCTTTATTAAATTTAGCTTCGTTTGACCAAGAACAACTAGAAATCTCTTCCACATCTCAGGACCGGAGAGTAGAAATACGGGGCAGACGAGCCGGTGCTCACCGTCAAAACTTTGGTTTTCCCGCAGCGTAGCGCCGAGAGTCTTTTTCATCTGACAGCAAGGTGGGGAGCCGACTAAAAAAGCCCACTCAGGCGGTGTTTGATCCGATACACTGAAATTTACGAGGTGTCACGTGATGATATCGTATATCAGTATATGGTATTTGGATATTAATAAAAAAATAAATTATAGAATTCGTCAGTACTTCAAAGAATTTATTAAACCTAAATAATTCGTCGCTAGCACATGTTTACTGTAGCGCCACATTATTAAATCATGAACTAATTATGCTTAAAAGAATCGTCTCATAAATTAGACGTAAACTATATAATTAGTCTCTATTTAATGCTATAGATGTGTCTAAACGTTCGGTGACTAAAGTTTAAACGGAGAACCAAACATCCTCTTGTTCTGGACCTGTTTGTTAGGATAATATATAAATCCTTCACGATATTCACATGCGCCGTTCGCTGTACACATACCCGCGCCGCGCGGGAGCCCCCTCTCAACTCCTTTTTCTATTTAGAGAGCTAAAACTAGAATTCCACCTCTTTATAAGTGAAATAGTTCTAAATTTAAATCCTTTTTCTATTCCCAAGTCCTCCCAACTCCCATCCCAAGCGGCGGACAGAGACAGAGACAGAGAAAGAGAGGAGTTGCAAGTTGGTGAGATGGATCTGTTGGAGCGGAACATTAAGAAGGGGGACACGGAGGAGGAGAAGGCGCGCAAGGAAGAGGAGCGGAAGGAGGTGGACGAGGTGGGGGAGAGGAAGACGAAGACCCAGGACCAGGAGCCGCAGCAGCAAGGCCAAGGCCTCAGCCTCTCACTCGCCAACGGCAGCGCCAGGTACCTAGCGTCCTAGCCTCACCTCTCCGAGACTCCCCGCCCCGCCCCGCCCTGCTCCGCTGAATCCCGCGAGGGCTTTGCTTCCCCGGAGTGGTTCGCGGCTGTTTGGTCCCTCGATATGTGGGGTGGAATTTGGATTCGTTTCGTTTCTCGTTCGTTTCGTCGTCTCCCCCGCGCTTTCCCCCCTTTCCTGTTCTCGGTGGTTTAGCACTTGCCACCCCGGCTTTTCGCGGTATTGTGGAAGTGCCGCGTGGGCTGGGCTTGGGCTGTGGCCGTAGCTTTCGCGGGATCAAATCAAATCTAAATCTGATTGCGGCCACTGCTCCGAGCGAGGATTCGGAGCCGGCGTGGCGGATCCGGGAACGCATGCTCGCCCTCTCCTCGTAGACGAAATCCCCTTCGCTGCTTCGGTTGTCTACCGCTCCCGCTTTTCATTCCCTCCTCCTGTTGTGCTGCTGTCGCTGTGTAAAGTAGCCTTGTAAGTTGTAACCTGATTTCGGTGTAGTTTTAGCATCAAATGTTCTTATCCAGATTCTGGTCAGTTGCCGGAAATCTTCGTTTCCGGTCCTCACTCATCCTTGCTGTCATTAGCTGTCTTGCGTTTCTATCTACCCTATTATGATATTGATGTGTCATTAATTGTGGCGAACGCGAAACGGAAACAGAACTCCGTGGCTGGCTTAGTGCCAAATGTTTGCTTCCTTTTGTTCTAGGATACTCAGTTCAGTTTGTCTTTGGGATAATAATTGTTTAAATGGTAGAGACGATTTAGGGGGTGTTTAGTTGGCCGCCGTTGTGTGCCACAACTAAGATAAGGCAGCCACAGTTCTGACGCATGTGTTTGGTTCATTAAAAGCTTTGGGCTCGCCACCACTTTTCCAACTGAGTGAAGCAGAAAATCTCAACCACAGCTTAGGCGGTCAATTCCGTCGCCGCAACTTCTTCGGCTCGCCACAGGGGCGCCTGAAACCAAACAGTAGTTTCTTTGTTTTGGCCAAAATGGTTGGCATTTTTTTTATGGTTAGGCTTTTGGAAAGAACTTTGACAGATGGCGTGCAGATCCAAGCAACCATTGCCCCCCTCGTTTGTTGAGTTTCTTGTTGTAAAAATTGTTTAAAGCTTTATGAAACGTTCTAAATTGAATTGCACAATCAGGTTAACCACGGATAATGTTACTGTTTGCGATGCAAACCTTTAGTTGTAGAAATGGGAAAACATGCATAGAGCTGATGAAAGTTGAGTTTAGCAGGCAGATAATTTCCTTGTTGCTGCAATTTAAGAAGGATTTGAAATGAAAAAAAAAACGAGTTAACCCCACTCTCCTCCAGTCCTACCTACAGTACCAAGGACCTTGTGCTAGAGTGCTAGACTGTGTGGTAGCCTGGTAGGGGACCAAGGACGCAGAGTCTGCAAACTGATTCGAGGCATTGAACTGATCCTTAAAATTTCCTCTGATGTTAAGCTACTTTTTCCTTGAACTGGACCGTTTTTTGCAGGTTTGTTTGCTGTGCTGTATCTAGTTGTTCAGCATGTTTCTTCAGAAGCATTTATTTGTTTTGCCTCGACACTGCTAGAACAATTAGTGTATGGTTCTGCTATTTTCAGTTCCATTTTGCTTCCTGGTTAGTTGTTATCCACCAGGCTTTGACCAATAGGAACATCTGGATTAATCAAATTCAAGGAAAAATCTTTATGACTCTGACAAAATGCTTTGCGATATCTGTACCACTAAGTCCCTACAAATGATTTGAAAGCCGCTGTCCAGAAAGCCAATCCATTCACTGGCCACGTAGGTTGTAGACATATCTTTCTATCAGAAATCTACCACCATTTCCCGTTCATTAGGAAGTAGGATGACTGTTTTCCTGTGCCCGCACACACATCTATCTCATGCATGTTGAACCCATCACATGGCATTATTACACGCTTTAATCTGAATTACTAGTAAGGGTGACATGGATCTGCCTACTTTTAATTCAGAGATGCCATTTTATCTGCCTTTGCGGCTTTGCATGTTCTTATTTTTGTGCATTCTTTGCTACAAGGTCTGGAATGTTGCCGATGTCGAACCCTTCAGCTAATCCAGCACAGCTTACAATTTTCTATGGTGGATCAGTATGTGTGTATGACTCAGTGCCACCAGAAAAGGTAATATTATCTTCACTTCATTTACAGATATCTTGTTCTTTTGTACTGTCTGTTAAAATATGTATGCTAATAGACCAATTTGGCTTGACAGGCTCAAGCAATCATGCTTATAGCTGCAGCTGCAGCAGCTGCGGCAGCCACCAAAAGCAGTGCTGCCACTGCTGTTAAGCCTCCAATGATGCCTACAGCCACGGTTGCCCCAGCAGCAGTCGTTTCTCCTGTGCTTACACGGTCTCCATCACTGCAGAGCACTTCTGTAGCAACTGGACAGCCTCAGGTTGTTGCTGACCCTAGCTCAATATGCAAGCTTCAGGCCGGTAAGACCACTGCATCTTTTGGGTAAAAATCTAGAAATGAAATACCTTTTTCAGTGTTGACATTGTCTAACATATCTTTAAACTAAATCTGTTGGCCAGATCTCCCCATTGCCAGGAGGCACTCTCTTCAGCGCTTCCTTGAGAAACGTCGTGACAGGTTAGCATGATAGATGATAGCAACAGCGCTATGATATTCTGAATGTTATTCTTAGGTTCCTTGCACAGGTTTAAAACTTGAGTTATAAAATGATGTATGTGGTACCACAGTATTTTCAACAGTATATTTCGTACCCTGTTCTATTTGTTGTCCTCATGGCAGGGTAAGAAAATTAAAATAATTTGCTGTTACAATTGTATTTGAATGATTGAACTTTCTGCTGACAAGTGCTCAAGGACTGCATGCAATAAACAAATTGGACTAGTTCGTTTAAAACACTGCTCTAAAATTCAAAAATTTCTTTACAGCAAGAATGAGTAGAGAGCCTGCTTCCATAATATAACACAGGTCATTTATTTTAGGTGGTACTTATAGGTTGAAATCGATGTTACGGCATTTAGCAGCTCAACAGAGGAACCAAACTACAGTAAATGTTCTTTGTCATTTTATCTCTGTTAGAAGAAAACATATCTGAGAAGGTGGTCACCTAAAGGTCCATGTGTTGTCTCTAGGTGCAAACTAACAGCATTTTTTTTTCAGATGTCAGGTTTAGACGCCTGTTTTACCTTATCTTAAAACTGAGTTTAGAATTGTTTTCCAGTACCCCTTTTGTCATGGATTTACTGAATTCGACTGCCGATGGCATGAAACAGGATCGTGAGCAAAACTCCCTACAGCCCCGCCAAGTCTTCCGATGGCATGGAGTCACCGGGGATGGAGGTGACCGCGGAGCTCAAGGCCCAGTAACTTGAAAGGTGTAGGGGAGCTGCGAAGTCCGAACACACGTGAAGGCTGACGTTGTGGGAAGGGGCAGGGACGTGCTGTTGTTGGCTTTGTGTTATGTGGTGGCTGCGGCAGCAGCAGCAGCGTGGAACTGCACTAATAATGGGACCGGAACCTGTATTACCATTGTTCTGTTGTCGCGTGCTAGGTTTATTCTGAAGTGGATTCCTTTACTCCGCATACTGAACTGTTACGATATGTCTGTTGTACATCATGCCGGTCGTCTCGTCTGTCTGACTTTGTTACATTGATCGCTGCTAGTAAGGGAATACAGTACCACGTATGAGTATGTGTTTCGTGTGAAAGATGATGGGCTTCCCTTGCTTGTTTCCACTACCGTTTCCCATTTTGGCATTTTAGGATCGTCTTCCAGTAGAATGGAGTACCACGTATGAGTATGTGTTTCGTGTGAAAGATGACGGGCTTCCCCTGCTTGTTTCCACTACCGTTTCCCATTTTGGCATTTTACGATCGTCTTCCAGTAGAATGGGCTTCGTTAGTTTGTTCGCGGTTCGTTCCCCTTTTGCCTTTTACAGTTAGTCTTCCCGAGTTCCAGTAGAATGGCAGCTGACGGATCGGCGGTCCATTTGAGGATGGTTCGAGTAATTTTCTGGTTTATTTTCTACATAAATGCTATGTCAATTTGAGAGGTTAGGGATACATATTTATAGACTGCTAGTCAGTCAATCATACGTCAAGATGCAAGATGCTAAGATGTTGTTCTAAAACAGATGTTGTCCTAAATACTAAGATGTTGTCCTAGTCAGTCAAGGATGCTGTCCTTGATGGACAGCAAGATATGTCCTAGTCAGTCAAGGATGCTGTTCTTGATGGGCAGCAAGATCATCATGCAGCCACAAGGACCATATGATGCAGCCCCACAGAGACCAGCCAGCACAGAGACTTATCCCATCATTCTCCCCCAAGTCTTGTGCGTCGTCTTATGGAAAAGTTGAACCATCCCGGTCCTGGAGCAGAGCTCAAGAAACTTGATCCTCCCAAGAGGCTTGGTAAGTAGGTCCGCAAGCTGGTCCTTGGTGTTGATGTAGCTCGCCTTGATGCTCCCTTCCTCCAAACAGTCTCGGATGAACTGGTATTTCACTCGGACGTGCTTACTACGTTCATAGAAAACGGGGTTCTTTGCCAGGGCCAGAGCGGACTTGCTGTCTATCCTGAGCTCCACCGCTCTAGTGTCTCTGCCGAGGAGATCACCAAGCAGTCGAGCGAGCCAGAGCGCCTGAGTCGAAGCGGTGGAGGCCGCTATGTACTCGGCCTCATAGCTGGACAGGGCCACCACCTACTGCTTGACCGACTGCCAGCTAACGAGGCATTTGCCGAGGAGGAAGAGGATCCCGCTCGTGCTCTTGCTGGTGTCGATGTCGCCGGCGTGGTCGCTGTCGCTGTACCCGATGAAGTGTGCCGCCCCAGGGCACCTAGGATAGTAGAGGCCGTGGTCGAGAGTCCCCGCAACGTAGCGGATGATCCTCTTCACAGCCTGCTGGTGCTCCGTCATCGGTCGCTGCATGAACCGACTAACGTAGCCAACGGAGAATGCCAAGTTCGGTTGTGTGTGGGTGAGGTAGCGAAGGCTCCCCACAAGACGCCGGTACTGCGTAGCGTCCTCCTCCGTCGTGCTATCGCGGCTCAGCTTCAGCCTCTCCTCCATCGGAGTGAGAGCTGGGTTGCAGTCGATGAGCCCAGCTAGCTCAACAACGTGCTTGGCATAGGCGGTCTGTCGAAGCGTGATCCCGGAGTCATCTTAGTGCACCTCGATTCCTAGGTAGAAGGAGAGAGGCCCCAGGTCACTCATCTGGAAGGTGGCCTTCATCTCTTCCTTGAATGTCGCCACCTCCGCATCCTTGGTGCTGGTGATCACCAAGTCGTCAACGTAGACACCCACCAGCAGAGCATTTCCTCCACTGCCCCGTCGGTAGATGGCCGCCTTGTGCGGGCTTTTCTCGAAGCCCATCCCCTTTAGCGTGGAATCCAACTTGCCATTCCACGCCCTCGGTGCCTGCCGCAAGCCATAGAGGGCCTTGCGTAGGCGGAGCACCTTGCCCTCCTTGGTGGGGATGGCAAATCCCGGCGGCTGGTGCACGTAGACCTCCTCTTTTAAGTCGCCGTTAAGGAACGCCGACTTGACGTCCATGTGATGAACACGCCAGCCCTTCTGGGCAGCTAGCGCAAGGAGGAATCGCATGGACTCCATCCATGCCACGGGAGCGAAGGCGTCGTCGAAGTCGACCCCCTCCTGCTGCACGAAGCCTCATGCCACCAAGCGAGCCTTGTGCTTGACGATGGCGCCGGCTTCATCCCTCTTTAGCTTGTATACCCACTTAAGGGTGATCACGCGGTGACCACCAGGAAGGTCAGCAAGCTCCCAGGTGCGGTTCTTCTCAACCGCATCCATCTCCAACTGCATCGCGGCGCGCCATGCTGCGTGTTTCTCGGCCTCTACAAACGACCGAGGCTCGCCGTCATCACACGCAAGGTGCAACTACGCCTCCAGGTCGTGAGGCGCCAGTCCCGGCACCGGCTGGTCGCCGAGAAGGTTCTCCATCATACGGTACCGCAACGGCTCACCGTCGTGGTACGCGTCAATGCGCTCCTCGTTGTGAGAGAGCGGAGTAGCGAGCTCAACGGGGCTATGCTCAACATGAGTTGGTGTTGGAGTAGACGTGCCTGGAGAAGTGCCTATCGGTGCCGGAGTGCGTGGCTTTGCCGGCTGTGGTGGAGCTGGCGAAGAACTCATCGCAGCCGAGGTCATGGCTGGAGAGCGTGGTGCTGTCGGAGTAGTAGGCGTCGGGGTTGGTGGAGGCTCGGGGACTGGGGTAGACGCGCTCGTCGAAGAAGAGCTGCCTACTCCCCCAGCTCCCTCAAAGTGGACGTACTCGACAGTGAAGTCGTCGTATGTCGGAGTCGAGCCGTCGTCCACCGTCTTGTCCCACGCCCATCCTCGCCCTTCGTTGAACACAACATCGCGCGCCATACGCACACGCTGTGTCTTCGGGTCGAGGATGTGGTAGGCCTTCGAGCCCTCCGCGTAGCCGATGAACACTCCCGGAGTGCTTCTATTGTTGAGCTTGCTGATGTGGCCAAGCTCCTTGGCGAACGCAAGGCAGCCGAAGACCCGCAAGTGGGTGACCGCTGGCTTGCGCCTATGCCAAGCCTCGTACGACGTCCTGCCGTCGAGCGCCTTGGTAGGCGAGCGGTTGAGGATGTAGACGGCCGACACCACCGCCTCTCCCCAGAAGACAGCCGGCATCCCCCTCTGCTTGAGAAGGGCCCGAGCCATCCCCACAACCATCTGGTTGAGCCGCTCGACGACGCCGTTCTGCTGCGGGCTGTACGACGCGGAGTAGTGGCATTGAATGCCCTTATCAGTGCAGTACGACGCGAATTCAGCTGCCGTGAATTCACCGCCGTTGTCGGTGCGCAGCACGCGCAACTTGCGGCCGCACTCCGCCTCCGCAGTAGCCTGCGCGCGCCTGATGGCGTCCATAGCCTCTCCCTTACCGCCGAGGACCATCACCCACATGTAGCGGGAGAGGTCATCGACGAGCAGCAGGAAGTAGCGTCGTCCTCCCGGTGTGGCCGGTGTCACCAGGCCACACAAGTCTCCGTGCACAAGCTCGAGCCTCTCCTTGGCTCAAAAGCTCGCCCGCTGGGGAAAGGGGAGTCGCCTCTGCTTCGTCAACACGCAGACGTCGTAGAGCTGCTCCACATGGTCGAGGCACGGCAGGCCTCGCACCATCTCCGTGGCACTGAGCCTCTTTAGGGCCTCGAAGTGAAGGTGCCCGAAGCGCTCGTGCCACTGCCACGCCTCGTCGTCCCAATGAGCAGCAAGACAGAGGGGTTGTGCCACCTGCACGTAAGGACGTAGAGTCGATTTGCGCTTCCGGTTACCTTGGCAAGAAGGCAACGACGGTGATCCTAAATCCTCATGACTCCATCCTCAACCACTACGCGTGAACCATTCTCATCCAGCTGTCCCAAGCTGATGATAGAGTTCCTCAACGTGGGGATGTAGTAGACTCTGGTGAGCAGCCTGTGCTCACCAGACACGGCGGTGAAGATGACGGAGCCGACGCCCTTGATCTCCACACCGGAGGCATCCCCAAACTTGATGGAGCCTCGGACGCTAGAGTCAAGCTCGGTGAAGAACTCTCATCGACCAGTCATGTGATGGGTGGCGCCAGTGTCGAGGCACCACCCGTCAGTCTTGTCGTTGCTGGAGCTGTCGCCGAGGAGGGCGTGTGCTTTTGGCTCATCAAGGTGGAGGAGAGCCGCTGCGGCCGGTGCCGTTGGAGGTAGCTCGATGCTTGCATGTGCCATGAACAGAGTTGGCTCCTCCTCCTCCGCCTGTGCGACGTGGGCCTGGCCGCGTCGTGGCTGTCGACAGTCCTTGGCCCAATGGCCAAGCTGGCCGCAGTTGTGGTAGGTGTCGTCTCGTGCCGGCTTGTGCTTGTCGGCGGCGCCGCCATGGGCGCCTCTACGGGCATCACTGTCGGCACGTCCTCGCACCTCGACTTGGCGTCTCTGCGCGCCTTGCCACGCTTGCGGCCGCCTGTCGCGGAAGAAGGCTCCCCCTTCTTCCGTCACCTTGGCAGGCAACCCACTACTCCCGAGTGAGAAGGAGCTTCCCGCCAGTGGTGATGGGCCCCAAGAGAGACTGTGGCTCATCGCTGTCGACGACCTTGAGGCTACCTATCGCCTCCTCGATCAACATCATGGAGAGATCCAGCAGGGACTTGATCGAGCGAGCCATCTGCTTATACTTCTCGAGGACACAACGGAAGAGCTTGTCGACAGCTCTCTCCTCGCCGTAGGTGTCATCGCCGAACTGCACCATCTTCTGCAACAGAGTGTTGAGACGGAGAGCAAAGTCATCAACGTCCTCACTTGGCTTGAAGGTCAGGTTCTCCCACTCCTTACGAAGTGCCTACAATGTGGACTTGTGGGCG